ATATCGCGACCACCAACTAACGTAACAACGAACCAACCAACTATAAGTAAATAAATACTAACTAACTACTACTATACTACTACTAACTAAATAAACAACTACTCTCTCTCTCTCTCTCTCTCTCTCTCTCTCTCACACACACACACACACAAAGCATGTTACCCTTAAAAAAACTCTAGGGTCATACAAAAACCAAGAAAATACAGAAACCCATAATCACAATTTCAGACACCAACTTCTTTAGACCCCCAGACTTGCTCGGCCCCAAACTCCCTGGACTGAAGGGCATCATAGGTGAAGTCCAGCCACTCCCATTTGGGGCACTCGCGGGTCCCACTGCTGGCAGCTGGTGCATCGGCAATGCTGGGGGTGGGCTGATGGGCAGAGGGGCACTTGTCCCTTTGGTCATATTCTGCCACATCAGCACCCCACCAACCCCGTGGCATCGAATAATGGACCCCACAACACACACATTAGGCTCTGTAATCCTCACAGTATTAAGGAAGACTCCCCTCAATTCATCATTAACCATCCTTAACATGAACCCGGGCTCACAAGTTGGAATCATGGAACCACTAGGGAAATAAGTAAGGTGATCAAACAAGAGAGGGGTGGGGATAGAGTGGCTGAATATGAACTTCGTGATCTCATTCTCAGAGAGAAGAACACTCGACAGTGCGATGTCGGTAGGCATTAGGAATGTGATATTGAGAGGGATTTTTCTCTCTATCATTTGAAGTAAGAGGACATAAGAGTAGTACTTAGCAGATCGCATCTCCGAAATGGCCACATCAAGGTCTGTATTTGGGATTGAGGCCGACATGTGTTGGCTCAGGCACAATAGGAGGAGAAGTATGAGCTGTGCAGCCATGGATATCTCATGAAGTTCTCTTCTAAAGAGAGCAAACGAAAAAGAAGCCCACTTTCTTAGAGCGAGCTTAGTTGCTCCAAGACTCAGAAACGGATAAAGAAACTCACCCAAAAAGACAGAGATGGAGGGACAGTCAGGGAGGCCTGGCAGCCATTTTTAAAGGGATTTCGAAGGTGGGTTTTGAGTGTTATATGAGAGAGACAGACAGATGAGAGAGAATGTGTGAGAGAGAGGGTCATGCATGCTTTTAAGCTGCCCTAACAACTACACACAGATGAAAGGGGAGAGTTTATGGATGATCAAAAAGCATGGCTGTAAAAATGGTTAGTTTAAGAATCGCGGAAAGGCTGGAAGGGGGTGGTGAGAGAATGCAATCTTCAAGAAATAATGACTGAAATGACCTCATCTTTCTTTTGAATTTATCTGAAGAGCCATCATAGCCCTTCCAGAGAATCCCCAACAGCACAAAGTGGACAACTATGCCCTCAAGTACAGCAGTTTGGTTAAATGTCATATATGCCCCTAAAGATCAACCATGCTTGCAGGTCCATTATCATATGCTTATAAATCTTCATCATCATCATCAAAACTTTTTCCCAACTAATTGCAATCAGCTAAACGAATCCTGGTCTGCCAGTCTGCTCTATTAAGAGTCACACCTTGTGCTTCCATGAGTCCCCGTATCTTTTCTCACCACTTCCAGCTATGTCCTTTTGCGCCTACCTTTTGCCCCTTTTTAACCTTCGCCCCTTTTTAACCTTCTACTCGAACTAACTTGCACCTCCTAACAGGTGATGTATTGGTTCTTTTAAATCTTCATAAAGCAATAAATCTGCCAGTAATAATAAAATGACAATAGTAGTTGTAGTATAGACATTGTTGTTATTATAAAGATAAACAAGGGAAATTTATCAATATGCACCTAACTTTTCAACAAGTTAACAGTTTATCGTATTTCACCTATTCCAGCTCATCGCATGTGTATTTTAATGGCTATTTTGAAATTTAATCAAAATGTATAGGTCAAATGCTAAATATTAATCACTTATGTGTATTTTGCTTAACCTCCTATAAAACAATAATGAGTAATGATCCTATGAGACCCTCCCACACCCATGTGTGTAGGACCCCAAAGGATCACCATTAAATTTAGCATACATCTCTAAAAAAGTTATCACATGGATGTGGGACTTGACTTTTCTAGAGATGTGTGTCAAATTTAATGGTGATCCTTTGGGGTCCTAC